TTGGAATCAAAATTTATCCCTTTTATTATTAAGTTGATTTGGTTTACCTAAGCAATCAAAGACCTATGATGAAAGCTCAGGAAATTATCTTAATAAAACATAAAGTCTTTGTTTTCCCTTTATAATTTTATTAAGAAGCATACTAATAATACAGGAAAACTTTGTCCTTTTAACAGAGAGAGAAAACCAAATTTTTTTCTTTTTTTTATTTTAATCTTTGTTCAAATACAGTTTTCTCCCTTTTACTCCCATTCCATCCCATCTACCCAACCCTCCCCACTTCCCTCCCATTTCCACCCTCCCCCTAGTTTTTGTCCATGTGTCCTTTAAATTTGTTCCTGTAAATCCTACCCATTCTCCCCTGAAATTCCCTCTTCTCTCCCCTTCTGGTCACTGTCAGCCTGTCCTCTATTTCAGTGTCTTTGAGAAAACCGAATTCTAACAATGTATTAGAACATTTTTATATTAAAAGTTAATTTAAATAAATCCATTCCAAAATTGCTTAGTTTGACCATACATAAAATTTCTATTTCAAGATTCCTATTCCATAAACCTTCTGTAACTTCCACAAACCTTTCACAGCTTTCACAAACACTTCAGCTTTTAGCCTTATCTTTTTTCTTCCTTATTCTGGAGCAATCATTTTACTTTAGGACAAAATTACTTTCTTTTCCTTTAATGAAAATGCATTTCCACTCCTCATACTTCTTTTTTTCTACCAAACATAACATCTTACTTTTTTATATACAATCATTTTCCATCATTATATCATCTTCCTCTGTATTCTCATCACTTTCCAAGGAATCTCACCTCTTAGTATTCTAATCAGGTTTTGTCAGAAATGCTTTCATCTTAATCTGAAGCATGTTCTGCTCTCCTAGCTTCGCAAAATCACACACCAAGGTCTCCAACTTATCACCCTGCTTTCCCACCCTTGTCTGTTGACGTCAAAGTTGGAAGAGCAGTGTATAAGCATATGTGCTTTTCTCCTGTCAGCTCTTCTTTAAAGATTTAATTCATCATTTAACTTAAATTAGCAGGCTTTAATAATCTGAATAACCAAAATATTTTAGAAAACCTTTTACTGAAAAGAAACTCTTCTCATTTACCTCTAGTTAAACCGTTTGTTTTTACAATCACATCTAGAATACTCTTGAAGTTTTCAAGAGACTTTGAAGTGATTAGCCATCATCTTGTTATTTTTCTTGCTGACAAATTTTGTATCAGATATAATACAAGCTTATTTGATTAGTAAGGCCAGGTAGAATAAGAGTGGCACATTTACATTATTTTACAGCAAAATGCTAAAGACCTGTCTGTTTCAATTAGGCCAATAACTGTACACTAGCTTTAATTTACTAAAAATTAATCCTAAATCACATGCACTTGGAAAGCATTGGGGTTACTTTCTGCCGTATTTCTTCAATTCTTACGAGCACTTTGTTTTTAAGTCAATTGAGCAGGGCTCCCTTACAATTCAATCTTGAGCTTACCAGTTAAGTTTGGTAACATTATCCAGAGATCGAAATGTCTTACCTATAACATATATACCTGGACTACACAGACAGGACACAGACGGAGATCTCATAGCTTATATTTTATAACTGTTGTTAGCTTTTATGTGCCAGGCACAATAGTACAAAATGCAAATTATGTTACTAGCAGATGGACTAAGTTAAGGTTATTTGCTCAGATGGTCAAAGTCTGCTGCATGCTGTAAGGGTCATTTTTAAACCATTTTAAAGTCAATTTTTATTTTAGACCTTTCTGAATATCAATCAAAGAATGGATTCCAGCCCCAGCTGGTGTGGCTCAGTGGATTGAGTGCCAACCTGAAACCAAGTGTCACTGGTTCTATTCACAGTCAGGGCACATGCCTGAGTTGCAGGCCAGGTCCCTAGTAGGGGGTGTGTGAGAGGCAAACACACATTGATGTTTCTCTCCCTCTCTTCTACCCTCCCTTCCCCTTTTTCTAAAAATAAATAAATAAAAATCTTTTTTAAAAAAGGATGCATACCATTTTCCCTGAGAGGCCTCAAAGAGAAGTTCCCCAGAATGACCATTTCAATCCCAAGTTATCCAAAAGCTCCAATTACCCAAAAGTTCACCCATTTTTCCAGAAAGGCCCAAGACTTGTTTCATAAACCAGGAGGAACCTATCTTGCCTTTGGATTCCTTAAAATGGTTTAACTCTGAGGATCACTGCTTCCAAAAGCTGTTCAAAAATGCTGGGAGTCACATGCTTTCCCCCTTTTGAGCAGGATGGATGACTTACAGAGAAGCTTCAGCAAACAGAAATAGAACAGAACAAATAGAAATAGAAAGCAAGGGTAAACAAACATTCATGTCAGAAGGCTCAGAATATAAGAGTGGCCTCAGAAGGCCTGATTAAAAAGGGGACAGATTTTAGAGAAGAAGGCTACTTCACCTCTGGAGACAAAAATGGGGAAGGAACAGGACTTTCAGCCAAGATGGAGGTGTAGGTAGATATACTTTGCTTCCTCACACAACCGAAAGAAGGACAACAACAAGTTTAAAAACAAAAACAACCAGAACTGCCAGAAAATTGAACTATATGGAAATTTCACAACCAAGGACTTAAAGAAGAAATATTCATCCAGATGGAAAGGAGGGGTGGAGATGGGCAGCAGGGGTGGAGAGGACTCCTGGCAAGGTGGGCTGGGGGTGGGCAAGGCAGCGGCTGGCAGACCAGGTGAGGCAAAGGCTGGCAGGCTGTGTGGTCCCACATTCGTGTGCACATAAACTGGGAGGAACAACTGGGGAGCAAGGCAGATCACACAACCCAGGGTCTCAGTGTGAGGAAATAAAGCCTCAATATGTCTGACTGAAAAAAACTTGTGGGGGTTGCAGCTGTGGAAGAAACTCCCAGCCTCACAGGAGAGTTCATTGGAGAGACCCACAGGGTCCTAGAATGTACAGAAAGCCACCTACCCTGGAATCAGCACCAAATGGGCCCAATTTGCATGTGGGTAGCAAAAGAAGTGACTGAAAGTGACCAAGAGCTGAGCAAATGGCATTGTTCTCTTTCAGACCCTTCGCCCATATACAACACCACAACACAGCAAAGTGTATACCTGCCCTGCCCTGGTATATACCTAAGACCCCACCATTTAATATATGGCAGGCATGCCAAGACAAAAAAATATGGCCCAAATGAAAGAACAGATCAAAGATCTGGAAAAAATACAACTAAGTGATGTAGAGATAGTCAAACTATCAGACGCACAGTTCAAAACACTGGTAATCAGGATGCTCACAGAATTGGTTGAGTGTGGTCACAAAATAGAGGAAAAAGTGATGGCTATGAAAAGTGAAATAAAGAAAAATATACAGGGAACCAAGTGACAGGAAGGAAAATGAGACTCAAATCAACAGTTGGAAAAGAAGGAAGAAATAAATCTTCAACCAGAACAGAATGAAAAAACAAGAATTCAAAAAAATGAGGAGAGGCTTAGGAACCTCCAGAACATCTTAGATGTCCAACAATTGAATCACAGGGGTGCAAGAAGGAGAAGAGGAAGAGCAAGAAATTGAAAACTTACTTGAAAAATAAGGAAGGAAAACTTCCCTAAACTGGCCAAGAAAATAGACTTCCAGAAAGTCCAGGAAGCTCAGAGAGTCCCAAAGAAGTTGGACCCAAGGAAGCACACACCAAGGGACATCATAATTACATTAGCCAAGATTAAAGAGAAGGAGAGAATATTAAAAGCAGCAAGAGAAAGGAGACAGTTACCTACAAAGGAGTGCCCATGAGGCTATCAGTTGATTTCTCAAAAGAAACCTTACAGGCAAGAAGGGGCTGGAAAGATGTATTCCAAATCATGAAAGGCAAGGACCTACATCTGAGATTACTCTATCCAGCAAAGCTCTCATTTAGAATGGAAGGGCAGGTAAAGTGCTTCCCAGACAAGGTCAAGCTAAAGGAGTTTATCATCACCAAGTCCTTATTATATGAAATGGTAAGTGTAAAATGTCTAAGAAAAAGAAGATCAAAAACATGAACAGTAAAATGACAACAAACTCACAGCTATTAATGACCAAACCTAAAAAAGCAAACAACTAGATCAGGAAGAGAATCATAGAAATGGAGATCACATGGAGGGTTATCAGCAGGGAGGGAAAGGAGGAGAATGGGGAAAAAAGTACAGGGAATAAAAAGCATAAATGGTAGATATAAAATAGATAAGGGGGACTTAAGAATAATATGGGAAATGGAGAAGCCAAAGAACTTATATGTATGACCCATGGACATGAATTAAGGTGGGGGAATGATGGTGGGAGGATGGGTACAGGACGGAGGGGAATAGAGAGGAGAAAAAATGGGACAACTCTAATAGTATAATCAATAAAATATATTTAAAAAATTTTAAAACAGAGGTGGGGAGGAAAAGTAAAGGCCTAAAAAGCCATTTTTACTTCTTTCAATTGTTCATTCTTGGATAATTTACAGTCCTGAATAGATTTGGAAGCTTCAAAGTACAATTTAAAGTACATATACTATTCAGTTAGTTTTATTTTATAGCTGCATTATTTAGATTTGTAAAAAGCAAGTTAACAAAGATCAGCAGTTCCTCAAAGTGGCCAATTTAGCTGTGAATCATCCCTGGTAATCGTAGCCCACCGAGAAAGGAAATTGCAGGACAAAGGCCCACAATTTTTGAACATCAACACATTCTAGCTGGAATTCTAGAAAGTGAGTGCTCAGCAATCATTTCCTAAGAACATGACCTTCCCATTTTACAGAAATTGTATTCTGACAAAGGGATAGATGAGTAATTATGCACCAGACAAGCACATTGAATCCCAAAGACAAAATCAGATGGGTACTTTACATTGTATAGACAACAGCTGGCAAAAGAGGACACCCAAATAATCCTGAACCTCAACTTTGGTTGGAAGGTTTGGGTCCAAAGAAGACTTATGATGCCAACCCAGGACCATTGAGGAGATGACTGAGTACAATGGACTCTTTCACTTACCTTAGTTGAATCCAGGTGGCATGGGAAGAGGCAAGGAAGATCCCACGTATCTGACACCATGTATCATTGACCAATAAATATCTGAGACTGTAAAACAAATTAAAAGTTCATTTAGGGTCTTAAAAGACTCAAATTCAGGAGATACAGAGTCAGATAGCAATCCAAACTGCACTTTAAGGAGAACGAAAAAAAAAAAGTCGAGTTTCTAAAAGCAAAACTTACAAAGTTTGTAACAAATTAAATTTTTCCTATTGGCTATCTAAGTTGAGGTGATGAGTAATTCAAAAAGGATTGGTCACATCCTGGTTGCGAGACTCCAAGATTTGTTTCTGTGGCAAGCACATAAGTCTAAGAGTTCAAACTTCAGTTAGACCTTCTATGCAAATGAGGGATACCGGCTGGTGAACCTGATTGGCTCCTTTCAAGATGAAGAGTACAGTTGGTCTGGTGGCCATGGAGAAGAGGAAGTAATATTCAGGATGTGTTCTCATAGCTGGTTCAAAAGTTCACAGATAGACTGAGAATAAAACAACCTTTTGTTACCAGCAGGCTTCATTTTTAGCTCCTTGATGTAAGTGATTCTATCCTGGAAATTTTCATTGATAAAAATGTCCACAGAGACATTTGCCCCACACCAAAAGATCCTTGAAAAATAGTCCTGTCCAAAATGTCAATGCTTAGAAAACATCACTGGGTTCAAGTAATGCATATTGTTTATTTATACTTTTAGTTTATAGATTGAATACATTAAAAAATACTATCATGTTTTATTGGTCCAATAATTGTGTTGTGGCTATATTGCTAATGATAATCCTTGTTGCCTCAGTAATATAGCACATGAGGTTAGGTAGAGGGTGGACATAGACTAAATGTCTCTGTGGGCATTTCAGACAAAACTAAGCATCAAGGACCAAATATCAAGCACATTTTGGAGATCCAATATGATGGAGGAGTAAGTGGAAGCTACACTAATCTCCTCCCAAGACCAATCTGGAATTACAACTATATTGTAGAGAAATCATCCTGAATAACCAAATGAACACTAGCTGGGGAGAATCCTTATAACCATGGGTAGACAGAAGAAACCATCTCACCACAACAAGACTGATAGGGAGTTTAGAGAAGGTGTGAGAGGACTGTCTGGGCTCCCATGGGCAGCAGCTGAAGTTCTGGAGGGATATTTCAATGACTGGGGGATTCTCCTTGAGAACTGCAGAGTCTGAACCCCAAGCTGGGCTCCCCAGCCTACAGTACCAGAGCTGGAAAGGAACTCAGATAACATCTAGCTGTGAAAAGCAGCAGGGTTTCTGCCAGGGAGAGACAGCTGAGGACACAGAAAGCCTCTTAAAGGGCCAACACACAAGATTTCATTTGCAGCCACTTACTCTGGGCTCTGGTAAAGGGAGGGCAGAGTGGACTAGAGACACTTGAGCAGAGTTTGGGGTTTGTGACTCTGGGGAGAGAACCTAAAGAACACCTGTGATGAGTCATTCCCCATACTATAGAAGCTATCTTTCTCAGTCGGAACACTCCTCTCCAAGCAGCATCAGCCTGAGGGGAAGCAATAGTCCTGTCCACAGGAATTACCCTGCCCTACCATGTGATGCTTAAGCCAGGCTGCTGATTACAATTTAAGGCTATATCATTGGTCAGTTTAACATCTAAGGTGGAAAATACAAAGAAGTACTTCTCCAGAAGGACTAGATGAAAAGGAAGCAAGCAATTTATCAGATAGAAGTTTAGAGTAATGATTATAAGGATACATAACAGCATTAAAAATATACATAGAAATATACATAAGCCCAAGCAGAAATAAAGAATGCAGCATCTGAAATAAATAATATACTGGAAGGAATAAACAGTAATTTAGATAAAGCAAAGGACTGAATCAGTGATTTGGAAGATAAGGTAGAAAAAACACCCAAGCAGAACAGGAACAAGAAAAAAAGTTTTAAAAGAAGAAGAGAGCTTAAGAAACATTTTGAACAAGAAATGTAAAAACATCTGTATCATAGGAATACCAGAAGGAGAAGAGAGCAAGCAAGTACTCAAGAATCTGTTTGCAGAAATAGTGACTGAAAACTTCCCTAATCTGGTGAAGGAAAAAGACATACAAGTACAGGAAGCTCAGAGAGTCCAAAACAAGTTGGACCCATAGAGCCCTACAGTGAGACACATCATAATTAAAATAACAAGGCTCAAAGACAAGGATAGAACCCTAAAAGCCACAAGAGAAAAGCAGGTAGTTACATACTGGGGGGCACCAATTAGACTGTCATTTGATTTCTAAACAGTAACATTTCAGGCCAGAACTGATGGCATGAAATATTCAAAGTGATGAAAAGCAAGGACTTACAGCCAAAGCTACTTTACCCAGCAAGGTTATCATTCAAAATCAAAGAATAAATAAGAAGCTTTCCAGACAAGAAAAGGCTAAAGGAGTTTGTAAATACCAAACCAGTACTGCAACAAATGTTAAAGAGCTTGCTTTAAGAAGAATAAAAAGAGAAAGAAAAAAGAGAAGGAAAATAGTCTATCAATATAATGGCACTAATACGTACCTATCAATAATCACCTTAAATGTAAATAATTTCAATGCTCTACTCAAATGACATAGTATAGCTGAATGGAGAAGAAAACAAGACTCACATATATGCTGCCTCCAAAAGACCCATCTCAGATCAAAAGATACACACAGACTAAAACTAAAGAAATGAAAAAGATATTTCATGCAAATGGAAAGGAAAAAAACGCTGGGGTAGTAGTACTTATATCTGACAAAATAGACTTTAAAACCAAGTCTATAGTAACAGACAAAGAAACACCCTACATAATGATAAAGGGAACATTCCAGCATCATGATAGAACCCTAGTAAACATTTACACAGCCAAAGAGGATGACCTAAATATGTGAAGCAAATTTTGATGGACATAAAAGAGAGATTAACAGCAATAGAGTCATAGTAAAGGATTCTAACACCCCATTGACTTCAAAGGATAGATCTTCCAGACAAATAATCAACAAGGAGTCCTGGCTGGTGTAGCTCAGTGGATTGAGCATGGGCTGTGAATCAAAGGGCTGCCAGTTTTATTCCCAGTCAGGGCACATGCCTGAGTTGTGGGCCAGGTCCCCAGTGGGGACTATATTAGAGGCAACCACACATTGAGGTTTCTCTCCCTCTTTCCCTCCCTCCCCTCCTCTCTAAATAAATAAATAAAATCTTTAAGAAAAATAATAATCAACAAGGAGACAGTGAACCTAAATGACACCCTGGATCAAATGGATTTAATTGCTATCTTCAGAGCATTTTTACCCCATAGCAGCAGAATATGCACACTTTTAAAGTTCACATGGAAAGTTTTCTAGGACAGACCACATGTTAGGACACAAAACAAGTCCCAATAGATTTAAGATGATTGATATCACATCAAGAATCTTCTCTGACCACAATGCTATGAAACTAGAAATCAGTTACGAGAAGAACACTGAAAAACACACAAGACTTGAAAGCTAAATAACATGTTATTAAATAATGAAAGGGTCAACAATGAGACAAGAACGAAATCAAAAGACACCTTGAAACAAATGAAAATGAGGCCATAATATTCCAAAATCTATAGGACACAGAAAGCAATCCTAAGAGGGAAACTCATAGCATTAGAGGCCTATATGAAAGAGAGAGAGAGAGAGAGAGAGAGAGAGAGAGAGAGAGAGAGAGAGAGAGAGAGAAAAGAAAAATAAAGAAAAGACAAAGCTCAAATAAATAATCTAGCTTCACACTTATGGTAACTAGGGAAAAAAGCACCAAACAAAGCCCAAAGTGAGTAAATGAGTAGAAGGAAGGAAATAATAAAGATCAGAACAGAAATAAATGAAATAGAGTCTAAGAGAAAATGATACAAAAGATCAATGAATCCAAGGGCTGGTTCTTTGAAAAGATAAACATAATTGACAAACTTTTCACCACACTCATCAAGAAAAAAAGAGAAAGGACTCAAACAAATAAAATCATAATGAAAGAGGAGAAATAACAACTGACACCAAAGAAATGCAAAGGATTGTAAGAAAATATTATGAACAACTATATGCCAACTAACTGGACAATCTGGATGAAACAGATAAATTCCTGGAAACATACAATCTTCCAAAACTAAATCAGGAAGAATTGGAGAATCTGAATATAGGGATTATACCTAGTGAAATTGAAACAACAATAAAAAAACTCCCAACAAACTAAAGTCTTGAACTAAATGGCTTCACAGGTGAATTTTACCAAACATTTCAACAGGCACTAATACCTCTCCTTCTCAAACTATTTCATAAAATTCAAGATGAGGGAAGGCCCCCAAACTCATTTTATGAGGCCAGCATTATCCAAATTCCAAAACTAGATAAACACACCAATGAGAAAGAAAATTATAGGCCAACATCCCTAATGAAGACAGACTAATTCTCACCAAATATCAGCAAACTGAATACATCAATGCATCAAAAAGATCGTTTACCATAATCAAATGGGATTTATTCCAGGAATGCAAAGGTAGTACAACATTCACAAATTAATAAGTATGACTCACCACATAAACAAAATGAAGGACAAAAACCACATGATCATACCAATAGATACAGAAAAGCATTTGATAAAATCCAGCACCTATTTATGATAAAAATGCTCAGCAAAGTGGGAATAGAGGGAACATACCTAAACATAATAAAGGTCATATAGGACAAACCCACTGCCAGCATCATACTCAAGGGGCAAGAGCTACAAGTGTTCTCCTTAAGATCAGGAACAAGACAGGAATGTCTGCTTTCACCACTCTTATTCAACATAGTACTGGGAGTCCTAGCCACAGCAATCAGACAAGAAGAAATAAAAGGCATCCAAACTGGAAAGGAAGAAATAAGACTGTCTTTATTTGCACATGACATGATACTGTACATAGAGAGCCCCAAAGATTCCACACACACAAAAAAAAACTATGAAAACTGATCAATGAATTCAGCAAAGTAGCCAGATATAAAATTAATGTCTAGAAATCATTTGCATTTTTATGACAATAACAAATTAACAGAAAGGGAAATTAAGAAAACAATCTCATTCACAACTGTTTCAAATAGAATAAAATACCTAGGAATAAACCTAACCAAGAATGTAAAAGACCTGTACTCAGAAAATTAGAAGACACTGAAGAAATAGAAGAAGATACAAATAAGTGGAAGCACATATCATGTTCATGGATAGGAAGAATTAACATCATTAAAATGTCCATACTACTCAAAGCACTCTATAGATTCAATGACTTCCTATCAAGATTCC